TGGGGTTCGTGGTGCTGCATGCTATGACTATGTGAGGGTTTCGCGAAGAAGCGCTCAGTTTTTGAGCTACAAAGCGGGCCAATTGAACACAGAAAAAGGATTACACACTCCACCTACTCCAAACCTTTCATCCATCACTTCCCCCGGAGCTCCACCCTCAAAGCACTGATGTAATTTAGTGCCGGGTTGAAGGTGTAGTGTTGGCAGTCTCTGAACACACATGACAAGCTGCTGCTTGACTGAGGATTCGAATCTGGTGCTTCGGCGTGTAGTAAGCAGGGTGAAAAAGCCCTGAGCCCAAACAGACACTATGACTTCAAGAAGATACTCCTGGTCCCGTTTGAAGGCGTGTCTCAAACCCAAGGCAAACCCAGGAAACCTGAAACCTCGCCGCACTAAACCCAACACCCCCCCAGGCCCAACCCTGAACCCAAAGCAAACCCTAAACCCTAAACCTTAATCGCTAAGCCCTATAGCCTATAACCCTAAACTCAAGTCCAAGGCCCAGTAGATCCGAACGGAGCTGCTGGAAATCTGAGGGTGCCAACTCAGCCACGTAGACTGGCACCAGCATGCAGAATCTGAGTGGCTGGAATGGGTTTAGGGTTTAGGGGGAAGGTCGGGATCAAGGGCTGAAATGGAAATCCAAATCCTGCAATCCTCAATCCTAACCCCCAAAACCGCCCTTCTTTGAAATCGCTATAAGCCCACAAGGGGGATCTATAGGGCTTCCTGAAACGCGTCAATGCTACACCCTAAAGCCATCTACATCCCCAAAAACCCTGCATCCTTCTACACTCTACATGCTTTTTGCTTTCTTGCTGCTGGACTTGAGGACTAGCAGGATCCGTTCGACCTCTATCATCACGACTGAGGCTCATGCACATGCCTCAGTGAGCCCGCCCTGAGCCCTAAACCCCCAGACTGGAACCCAAACCCTAAACCCACTATGTTATATACGCTCTACAACCTATAAACTCTACCAGCCTTAAACAATAGGAGCTGGGTGCTCTTCGGGATTCGAGGTATTGGTAAGTTTCTGTAGATGTTGGGGGGGTCTAGGTTTAGGGGTTAAGGTTTAGGGTTCAAGGTTTTTTTAAAGGAGTCGGTGACGGGTGATCTGTTCTGTTCGCTGATGCAGCTCTCCTGAAAAATCCTAACCCATAACCTAGTAGTAGTAGTAGTCGTCGTCGTCGTCGTAGTCGTCGTCGCCTAGAATTTAAGGGTTTAGGTGTTTAGGGTTTAGACCCTGAGCCCTAAACCCTAAGCCCTAAACCGGTTTCGGGTCCAGGGCCCATGCCCTTCTTCAAGATGTGACGTGATGCTCCGAGTCCGAAACATCCAGGCTGAGGGCTTTAAGGAACCCTGAAAGGAAATTAAAGGAACCCTGAAAGGAGCCGTTAAAGGATCCCTTTCTTGGGAGCTTGGGGTTTCAGTGTTAAGGTTTTGGGCTTTAGGGTTTAGGTTAGGGTTTAGGCTTTGAACCTTGGGCTTGTAAGGTTTAGGGTTTCGGGGTTTGGCATGCGACGGTTTACGGGAGCTTCGGCCGGGAAGTGCCGGGAGTTAGGATCCGGGGTTCAGTTTCTGGAAGTTCCTTTCGACACTCCCACCCGGAAAAGCTATGCAGGGTCTGACAGCGCAAGAACTGCCAGGTCAAGGGCTTATAGGCACCCTAAACCCTAAACCCTAACTTCTATGGTTTTGGGTTCATGTAAAGTGAAGGACAGGACAGACGCAAGCCTGTCCATAGTACAGCAGGCTGTTGACAGCAGCTACCTTCTAGGGCTCGGCAACCACAAGCGGTGCCAATTGATTCTAGATTGCAAACTACACCCTGTTGCGGCCAGTGCGCACCTCCTCTAGCTTCGTTTAAGCAGCTAATTATACAACTCGGCTAGTCGCCGACATCCTGAACCAAGCCCTAACCTCTAATTGAAATCCCAATGCTCCCACCACGAGAGTGGCGTCACTCTGGGACCGCGGCGCGACCAGGAAACAGGGCGCGCCTCTTCCGAGCTCTGGGCACTTCGTTCTCAGGTTTTCGGGAGTTGGGGGTTACTCTTCGCTAAACTCCTCAAACTCCATATAAGCCTGATAGCACCTATAACCCAGTAACATATTACATAGGTACTGGTTACAAGTAGCTGTGCTTCTAGGGAACCGCCAATGTCTCATTTCACGAGGCTTTACAGCATCTGCAGGCTCAGAGCTCTTCGGCACAGTGAAACCGTGAACCCCAAGCATCCAAACACCCTACCTTATACCAGCGAATAGCATTATACCGTTATAAGGACTGATGTAAGGGAAATGTTAGAAGGAACCCTGCAAGGCGGGGGTTTTACAGAAGCCGTCTGGTTCGACGAATCTTAAAAAAAAACCGCTGGGTTGAGGGTTTAGTGTTCAGAGTTTCGCCTAAAGTGTTACTCACTTACTGTAAGCCGAAAACCTCAACTTCAACACTTTACCCTAGCTGAAAATTTCAACTCAAACAGGCATACCCCAATACGACAAACAAACGCTAGACCCTACTGCCCGACACCTATACACTACCCATAAGGCTGCTTAGTAGTTCCTTGTTGGAACTACTTTGTAGGAGCCTAGATCTTAAATATAAACCACCCTGGCAATCCCAAAAAGGAACTACTAAGGGGCCTTTGGGTATACACTAATTCCCAGATCCCCAAGACCCTTGCAAGAGCGAGCCCGAAAACATACAGCCCCTAAACCCTAAACCCTAAACCCTATACAGCCACCACCCGGTAGGTCGGCCTGGCACGCCGGTCATCTGCCGCAGAACTAACAGAACCTTCAGATTGGCCCCGAGTAGCCCAGTCGCTTGTATATGGGGTTACTTACCAGTTTAGCTGTAGTTACGGCTCTCTCTCTCTCTCTCTCTGTCAGGTCCTTTTTTCGGAGGTTAGGAATAAGCCTCGCAACTCGTAAAAATCGCAGAGATGTAACTGGGGTTTCGGCATCTGGGGGTCGCAATGACAGCAAGGGACATGGAATGCTGGGTTTCGGTTAAAAATTGAAAAGAACATTTAATTTGGTTGCAAAGACTTTAAGGCTTAAGGCTGCAGGGCCTTCTAAGGCTTATGTAAAACTATCGGTCCGGTTTTTGTATGTACCTAGGATTACTTGGTGCCAACAAAGTACCCAGTGTATTCAAGGGCTCGGAAGCCAATGATTGTTACAGGTACTGTTGTGTATCTACTGTGTACTTATGTCCTGCGACTCTGAACGGTCGGAGTTTGCTTCTTCCTGGTCGTGCCGAGGGGGGGGAGAATCAGGGGGTCTGTATGGGGTTGGAGGTTTCGCGTAGCCGCTAAACCCGGAACCCTAAATCCTAAACCCCTAAACCCAAAGCCCTAAACCCTAAACCCTAAGCTCTCGACTAAACCCCTAAAGACACTCCACCACAACACAGAGGGCTGAAAATTCCCTGACCAGGCCTTACGCTGCAAACAAGATGTGCTAATGTAGGGGCCTTGATAATTAGAATAGGGTTTTGCGGTGTATTATACGATAGTGATAAAAAAAGACCCCCCCCCAAAGAAATAGTATAGGTAATTATAAGGTATATCATACTATAGTTACAATAAGAAACCCCCCCAAATAGTAATTATAGGCAATTGTTAAGTATAATTATGAAAAGGAACCCTCCAAAAGAGTATAGGTAATTATTAAGGCCCCATGTGACGAACTCTGGCCCCTCAACTCGCACGGCCCTGCGACCTCACACAAGGAATGCTTTTCGTCGAAGGCTGAGTCAAATCACACTGCAACGGGAACCTAGGTAGTCCTCCAAATTAGGATCCATTTTAGGGTCGTTTACATGGGTGCCTCACTATCTTGGGGATCCAGAAAGGGACCTTAATTTAGAGAACTACCTACATGCTACTAAGAAGGGCGTTGGGTTTAGGGCTCTAGGTCTTGCGGTGCAAGGCCCTGGTGTTCAGACCTGACATTATCTCGGTTGAGACCGGACAAGGAAATGGCCAAGTACTATCAACTCCGTAGACCCGAACAACAACGTGCATCTAAGAACCGAGTCCCAAAAGCTGTGATTTTGATTCTGGCTATCTATCTATCTATCTATCTATCTACATATACATATACATATATATATATTGTGATTGATTGATTGATTGATTGTGTGTGTGTGTCTGTGTAATCATAATCACTTTGCAGACCTAGCTCTAGAATCTTCTGCCTGAACAAAGATGATGACAAGATCCCAATACCAAGGCCCTTGAAGTTAGTACCTATGTGGTATCAATCACGGGTCTACCTCGAGGCTATTGGGTACACGCACACACACACACACTCACTCACTCACTCACTCGCTGAAGGCGGCTCCTCCTTTGGCTTTGATGGGGCGGTCTTCGCTTTCGCCTTGCGAAGAAGTCGGTCACTCCAAACAGCGGCGCCATGGATTCACACGAGATCTGGACTTGGCATGTGCAGACTTCAGGGCTTGGGAGGCAATACAACAAGAAAAATGTTGAGGTATGGGCTGTCATCCCGGAGGTTTTTGGCCACAATTTGAGCCACTGCTGGTAGACTGTTTGAGCTTAGATAGCCCAGAGTTGGACAGTGCAGGGAATTCGTGCCGCATACCCCAATTTGCGGGAATCCCTCCCGAAACATTGGCCTTAGCACTTGGAGGATCATGGGACTTAGTAACAAGGGCAACTAGGGTTCTAAACAAGGTAACTATGGTTGTACTTACTTAGTTATAAGCCCCATTAGGGTAATTACAACCTTACTTACGAAGTCCCTCATTCTCCAAGTAGAAACCCTCCCTTCCAGGCCTTTGCCTTTGCCTTGGCCTTGGCCTTGGGCTCAGGCTTGTCGTCCTGCAATGTCAATGTCAGGAGGTTCTCTGGCATCCCTTAAAGCCTTAAAGCAAATCAGCCCCTTCCTCCCTACCCGGACAGTTGTTGCCGAGCCCGCTTCAATCAGAGGTGCCGAGGCAGGGAGATGGCTTCGCCAGCGCTCTACTCTCCAGACTGCTCGAAAGCCTCCTCCAGCTCGTGCAACATCAAAGCGAAATGCGGGAAGAGCCGTGCAAAGGTCCCCCTGTCCACATCGGCGGCACTGCCGAAGACGGCGGCGAAGGCAAAGTCTGCGAAGTCCCTTCGGTCCTTATCGGGTTTCGGCCTCCGGCCTTGAGCACGCCGCAAGCGCTCGCAGAGATGTCCGAAGTCCGCCGGCATCATCCGTGGACTCCTCTCAGGAACCGGCGAAGCGAAGGCGTCGAAAACGGACCCAGCGTCGTGCCATCGGACTGCGGCAGCTGCAGTCCTCGAATACTGCCGATCGCGGAGTTCCGAAGGCTCTGGGCCAACAACCTCTGCCGCCGCCTGCACCTCACTGGATGATATGGACATCACCGCCTGTGCCTGCACCAGCTCTCCTCGAAGCTCGCCACACTGCTTCTGCAAGTCGTTTACTTCGAAGCGACATGCCAAGATCTCAGCCGCCGATTGGCGCTGCCACTCCTCCACACTTTCCTGGAGATGCATCTCCTCTGAAACCACCGCCTCGGCCCGCTGCCTCAAGGCCCCTTCTGCTTTCAGGACGCCCGGGAGCCGCAAGGCCGCCTCTTCCCAGTGGGCATGCTTTGCATCGCGTGTTCGATCGCGCGCCCTTAGGATCTCCACGTGCTCCGCCAAGCCCTTCGCCTCCTTCACCAGCTCACTACAAAGCCTGGGTTCTTGTTAGGGGACTTAATTCAAGTTACCATAATAAGGAAACCATATTCCCATATTACTTACTCTAGATCCCTATTATTATGGCAACTAAGTTACTAAATCCCCTAAGAAGAGCCCAGAAGCTCCGTCTCCAGGAGCTCCTGCTTCTGCGCGCTCCTGGCCTCGGCCTCGAAGATCTGCGTCTGGAAGTTGCTCCTTCTTGGGCCCATGGCCGCGGCGGCCATGCCGCCCTGCTGCTGCCTCTCCGCCGCCAAGGCACGCCGAAGCCCCCAAGTCTCCCGAATTTGCGAGGTGAAGGCATCCAAGACGTAGCCCAAATCTTCCTCCGAGACCTTGCCGAGGCGACTCCTCAGTTGCCCGCACCTCTCGGCCACCGCTGCATCCTCGGCGTCTCTCTCAGAGGCATCTGCTCCCAGGCTGGAGGCGGGCAGCTTCAGGCTGGCTTGTGCGGCCCAGGACATGAAGCGCTAGCCCAGGACATGAAGTCATCTACGCCCCAAAAAAAGCAAGGCAGCCACCCCTAGCTGAGAGGGTGGGGTGGAGGCCCTCATAATCAAGGCCATATTCCTTCGGTTCCAAGTTCCAAGTATAACAGAATCGACCCCAAAACCTTAGTCTAGTTAATCCAGCCACCCTAAATTGTGGGCTCCTAAGCGCTACATCGCTGGCAGTCACGGACGCTGTGTAGCCTCAGGCAGGGTTTAGGGTTTGGGTGGGCAAAGCCCTTGATGGATCTAGTATGGCACGGATCCGAATATTAAGGCTTTCCTTAACACCCGATATGCCGTTGAAGCCCCGCTGAATCCAAAACAACACCCCTATCAAGCCCTCTTAGCCCTTTTCGCTCCCGATCGGCAGACCCTTCTGGTAGAAGCGTAACAAAGGAATCCTATTCAATCAACTACGCCTTTATATTCTTCTCTTCCGGCATGAAAATATACTATGAAAAAGTATAGCCTTATAAATTTCTTGTTTGTATCACATTTTACTGTTACTATGCTCTGTTGTATCACGTCATGCTCAAACATGTCACTGTATAAGTATAGTGAATCACAGTATACGGGTAGTTCGCTAAGTTAGGATCCTTCTTAGGATCCTGTTTATAAGGGTGCCGTACTATATCGGGGACCGATTATGCTCCTAACCCCTACACCCTAAACCCCTAAACCCCTGAACCCCTAAACCCTAAACCATGTTGTATCTTTTCTGTCTTGTGATGTTGGGTTGCATTGTAGGAGCCTTCCTGACGAGACTTCCACGCTTGAGCCGGTGAAGCACGCAGAAGCTCCTATGACCCTGTGGTTCGGGCTTGCAGGGTTGAGGGCTTAGGGTTTAGGAGTTTAGGGTTTAGGGTTTAGGAGTTTAGGGTTTAGGGTTTAGGGTTTAGGGTTTCAGGGTTCATGCTTAAGGTTTCAGGTTTAGGGTTTGGGGTTTAGGGTTTCAGGGTTTCAGGGTTCAGGGGAGGTAGGGCTTAGGATTTAGGGGGTTTGGCCGGAGGTTCAGAGTTCAACGTCGAGGGTTTAGGGTTTAGGGAGACCCCATGGATAACCCTAAAACCGACTCGCATGGCTCCATCATGCTGTCTTCGTGATTCGTCGATTCCTGGACTGCAATAGATATCTTGAATGCCGGAGCCGGTGGGATCTACGGTTATGGTTGTCATCGGTTGTCGGTGTACTTGCAGAGTGGCTAAGTCAAGGGTTCAGCGTTTAGAGTTTAGGGACACCTACTTGCTAAGTTCCCCATAGGTCCCCCACCCCTCCAAAGGTTCACAGGAAAGGGTTGAGGGTTTAGGGTTGAAGTCCAGCTACCCGCGACAGAACCGGGCTCAGTTTCTTCTCGTAATATAGGAAGCAGCCCAATACTATACTCATAAAATCCGCGTCCTACTCTTTAGGGCTCTATACAGCAACCCCCTGTCTTCTGCAACCCCGCATTAGATGCTAAAAAAAGCCTTATCCAACCCCCAAAAAAAAGCCGTTTTCATGAACCCATATCAAGCCCGGAAAAACGATCTGCCATCAAAGCTTGCTTAAGCGCCAAGCCCCTTCTCCCTGAACCCTAAACCCCAATCCCCAACACTAACACCTAAACCCCCAAAACCTAAACCAACTACCACTGTGCAAGAGAATCCTGGGGAGTCCTTCGCTGGTTTGCTGGCCTTCGCCTTGCTCTGTCGAACTTTGACGGGCTTGCAATGGTTGTCGAAGTACTCCTTTCAGAGCAGGGCTTAGGGTTGCGGGTTTAGGGCATTTAGGGCTTAGGGTTCAGGGCAGCCTGCCTACGGAAGGACTCGGCTGTCAACCTAAAGATACTTGCATACATACAGGCACAGACATTTCCCTTCCTTAAACACGCTTGTTCATGCAAGTTCCAAGAACGACCATGGATGTAGATACATCTATTTATGTATTTATATGTAGATGTATGTATATATATATATATGTATATATATATATATGCGCATGTGTATGCACACACAAGATATCTCTGTCTATCCGCATGGCTGCACGGACCTCCAACTCCTTCTTCTTGTAAGTCCTGACGTGGGCGCAGGGGGCTCCCCAGAAAGTCCAGGACCACGTGAAGGATTAACTAAGGGACCCTGGGGCTTAACCCAAACAACCCCCAAAATCAAAATATGCGGAATATCCTTAACTGCCCAAATTCGCGTAGGGGTCCTTAGATTACGAATCCCTAAGCCCTAAACCCTAAATCCTGAACCCTAAACCCTAAACCCTAAAGAGGGTGTGTTGCTTTAGCATACGTGGTCCTGAGCCCCAAACCCGGGTTCCTGCACGCAAAACACTCTGAGACTCCGCAGCCGTGAAAGCACGGCTTAGGGTTCATCGTTTAGGGTTCAGGGTTTAGGGTTTATGGTTTAGGCTTTGGGGTTTAGGGTTTAGGGTTCAGGAGTTTAGGGTGAAACCTCGAGGCTTTTTCCCACGGCGACTGCGAATCCCCCCCGGAAAGCCCCAAGCAGAAGACGGCGGGTCCCCTTGTAGTGCGCCATGAGCTCCTTGGGCCGGGAAGAAAAAAAGTAGCCATCATGGCCGCGATCATAAGAATGGGACTAGAAATAGTCTTCTCAAGCGGCAACAAGCAGCAACAGTATAGCAGGAAGAAGAACCGTCATACGATGGCAACAACCCCACTGGCGACACTCAGAAGAAAAAGATTGGTAGCAGTCAAGGCAACAAGTACGACCGAAGGAACTAGTGTGTTCTGGGCTCATTAAGAAAGCTTCTATTCAGCAACTTCATGCAACCTGCGGGATTGAGCCGTTGACCATGATACCTAGCTACAGACACACCCCGTGGCCGGGGTTCCAAACTCCGGCCTTAACACCTAGGGTGTTGGGATATCGTGCACTACGAGAAAAACGAGGAACCATAAGGAACACAATCAGTACTACTACTTGTCTTTGCAATCGCAACACCGGATTTGGGATGATCGGAGGGTCATCATGAGCAGGTGCTAAGCGAGCACGGCAAACGCCAAGTTGAGCTAGAACCAGGCGTCAGCTGAAGCAAATCAATCTCCAAGTCTGGAACCTTGATATCCAAAAGCCCTGAGCACTCCAGAACTGTAGCATAAAGCTCTAATGCTTTAAATTGAGGGTTTTCAGTACAGGATGATCTGCGCAACTTCAAGAAACATGGACGGCAGCATGGCCTTCAGCGTGTACGCCTCGCCGGTCGCTGGGTCGACTTTCTTCTCAGCCATGCTTGCCTTGAGAGGCTGTTGAGGAATTACATGTTTGGGTGCACGACTTTGTGACGTGAGGCTCACATACCAGCGCTGCCTGATGCTCAGGCAAATGATTAGTGATGACCGTGATGACGAGGAGGAGGAGGAGGACGACGATAACGATTGCACGATGATGCTGATGATGCTGATGATGAGGATGAGAATGATGATAACGATTGCGAAGAGACGATGATGCTGATGATGAGGATGAGGATGATGATGACGATGATGACAATGATGACGATAAGATGAGGAGAATGTGTATGAGGATGAGGATGAGGGTAACGGTGAGGATGAGGATGATGACGAAGTCGATGATGATGATGATGATGATGATGCTGATGATGATGATGATTATGACAGTGATGACGTTGATGGTGGTGGGGAGTGGCGACGTCGGTGGTGGTGGTGGTCGTCAGTACCCCGTTAAGGACCAAGGCCCGGGCAAAAAGGCTTCGAAGGATAGCTTTCCAGGCTCAGAACGGGAGGCAATGCACGCCAGTTGCGGAAGTTAGGCTCGAGCTCCAACAGCTGCAAATGACCGAGCGCAAGGTGCTTTGGGCATCGACAGCATGACTGCTTGTGTTCGACTTCAGATGTTGCTGGGGCTTCAACATTGGAGCCTGTTGCTGACATCAGCTTCAAGCTGTGCTCATAACATCGCATATCAGAGGCTGGGGCAGAGTACGTCGGCAAGAGCGTCAGCTTATTCATGTATATGCAAGTAGCTAAGTAGCCGGCACGAATCAAATATCTGCCAATAAGGTGATGGATGTTCCCTTGCAACAGTACTTACCAGCATCTGTTCATGACGCTGATGCGGAGACTGAGGATCATGATCATGTTGATGACGGGGATAATGACGTCAAAAGTGGTGGCGGTGCTGGCGATGACTAAGGCGACGGTGATTTGCATGATCAGGTCGCGTCGCGAGGATGACTGTGGTGATGATCGTGGTTCCTGGTTGATGCATATGATGCAGTGACTGCAATGGTGATAAGTGATATCATCAATGCTCATCACCATTGCCGGACCCACAATCACTCTCCTCGACAACGTCCGCCATTCGTCATCGCCACCATCCGTTTCGTCGCCTTCAGAACCGTCATGGTGACTCTCCTGTGAAAAATCTGCCCAAGGCCCGGGCAAAAAGGCTTCGAAGGATAGCTTTCCAGGCTCAGAACGGGAGGCAATGCACGCCAGTTGCAGAAGTTAGGATCGAGCTCCAATAGCTGCGCATGCCCGACGCAAGGTGATTTGGGCATTGACAGCATGTTTGTGCTACTACTGCTGTCTTGTTGTGAAGATCACTCGTAGTTGTGCAATTGTTTAAACTACAACCACTACCACTACCACTACCACTACGACTACCACTACGACTGCCACTACCACTACCACTACCACTACCACTACCACTACCACTACCACTACCACTACCACTACACTAGCACTACCACTACCACTGCCACTACTACCACGACCACCACCACGACCACCACCACCACCACCACCGCCGCCACCGCCACCGCCACCACCGCCACCGCCACCACCACCACCACCACCACCACCACCACCACCTACCACTACTAACTACTATTGCTGCTACTACTGCTGCTAGTACGACCACCACGGCAGCAACTGCTGCTACAACTACCACCGCGATGACCACTAAGTCACTGATACCCATGTTACCACCATCGCCACTTGCTAG